ATGGTTGGAATTTGTTCTGTGTATATATATATAAAGATTCTGTAATTGTAAGTTTAAAATTTGATCGTCGAGACCTTAGTTATAAAAATAAAATAAATAACCAGTAAAGGGGTGATAGCGATTTTCGGGTTTTCACGGTTTGTCGAAAAAACAAATCTTTACATCCGGTATGTTCAAATTGGATTATCTGGAAAACTTGAGATAAATCTGTCAATCCAACTTTTCAAATTTACAATAGTACAATCGTTTGTTTTATTTTGTGGTTTTCACGGAGTTTAAGGAAAATATTAACTGTACATTGCTTGAAATTACAGATTATAGACTATTTTGAGCGAGATATTATTCAGAATTAAAATACCGTCAGTTTGTTGGTGAGAGTGATCATGACTAGGGAATGTAGTAATTGATTATTTTTTTTTATAGAAACAGAAAAACTTTTGGTACACAAATATCTTGAGAGAATAAAGTGTCCATAAATGTATCTTGAAAAAGCTTCATCCTTAGATGAGTATGTTTGAAAATTAAATCGAAATGAAATGGGGTTTAACGTCCTACTGTTCTGCTCTGACTGGGATAATGAAGACGAGCATGTGCCATACTGTGTGCTATGAGGGAAATTTTGTCCGGCCAGAGGCTATATGAGCTACTCTTATATCGAATTTCAACTGCCAAAGGACCTTGTACGTGCACGTGTACGAACAACTAGACAGCTGCCCTTGTCAGGCGCCCCGTCCTGCAACACTGACAAGGGGAAACCACACCGGAAATATTATTAATTCATGTTTATTGAAGTCACCATTTTTGTTATATACAAAAATATATTTCTTAGTTTGAAGAAGTATTGATTTAAAAAATCGTCTCAGTTAATTTTGAAAAATCTTCATCCTATAAGGCGACACCAATTTGAATTTTTGTCCTTCTGGAAAAGTGTACAAAAAAAACAAACAATTTTTTCTTATTTCTTCGGGAAACCCAAAAGTACTAGGTTGTGCCGTTCAAAAACTTCTAGTACAAATTTTTAAGTTTTTAAATTTTGACAAGACATCTTTAATGTGATTCAAGTGGGTTATTTATTGATCAAAGCCCAGAAAAAACGGAAAATAAAACTATTGAGGCCTAATATTAAGTGCAGGAGTTTCACACAACACGAAAAACAAGACTTACAGAATACATAGACATTGCTAGAAATAAAAAACATATCAAATCAAATGAATGGATCCGGGGATCAGTCTTAAGCGTCCACTACGCTGTACAGTCCCAGGGCCTGTTTCATGGAATTTTAACTAAGATAAAAATCCAAATTTGAGTAATTTAATTGGATAATATTAGGTTGATTTTAGTGCTTAGCCAATCAAAATTGAAGTACATGTATCCACTAAAATTTGGATTTTATCTTTAGTTAAGATTTCGAGAAACAGGGCACCGGGCCTATGTTTTACAATTACGTGTGTAACTAATTCTTGTTCTGTATTATTGATACTCACTGTTTTATTGTGTGGCAAAATTAATTTACCTAAATTTGTCTTGGAAAAAAAAATCTTGAAAAGGTAGTCTGTCCAGAAATATCTCCATCCTCAGACGGGTATGTTTAACAAGTACGCGTGATAAACATGCATTATGCAATGCATTGCAAGAGCTAGATCTATCAATGGCAGGTCTTTCTTTAGGTCTGAAATGTTATCTTAATTATTAATTAGAAAGAGTAATGTGTCCCGAAGTTTATCTAAATTATCTTGAAAAATCGTGAAAAAGTAATCTGTCCAGAAATTTAACTAAATTTATCTTTTAAAGGGTTCACCCTTAAGTGTTTTGTATCATTGAAGCTCAATATTTTTATAATGTGTTTTAAAATTAATCTAAATTTATCTTTGCTTTGGATTTCACTTTCACTGAATCTGATTACATTACGGCGTAATGATACATAATTTTGGACAGTAATTCAACCATTGCAAAGTCCTTTATATTGACCCAGTGTTTCCATCAAGGTCAATTAAATACAAATAGTCCCTTTTTAATAAAACAGAAGTTACTTTTCATAACAGAAATGAATTGTTCTTTGAAAATAAAAAAATACTTCCTTTTTAATTGACCAATCAAATTTATTATGAAATTTATCACATAAGCGTTATCTACTGTAGAATGTGTTATTGGGTGATAAAGTTTATTATCCTAGTGTTCTTTTTTGGTTCCAAAAACTATTTTCGTTTTGTACCAAAATTTCTTTTATCGCTCGAAATATAAATGTGTCCAGGAATTTATCTTAAAATATATTCATTATAAAAATAGTGAGATTCAATAACACAAAATATTTACATGTGTTAATATTCATGGTTTGTATTATTAAAGCTCACTATTTCTGTGTTACATCAAAATATCTTTCTTGGCTTGGGGGGGGGGGGGTCACGGTGGCTAAGTGGGAAAGACGCTGGCTCGGCAGCTAGGAGGTCGGGTGTTCGATCCCTGCATTGGCCGAGAAAGTTCATCTATATTTCCCGGCGTGGTTCCCCCTTGTCAGTGTTGCAGGACAGAGGGCCTGGCGAAAAACCGACGTCCCGTGTACACATTTGCGTGCATGTAAAAGATCCCTTGACAGTTGGAATTCGATATAAGAGTAGGCCGTAGTGACGCTGGCCGGGCAAAATTTCCCTCATAGCACACTGTAATGCATATGCCCGTCTTCATTAGCCCAGTTTGGAGCAGAACATTAGGACGTTAAACCCCATTTCATTTCAATTCATTTTCTTGGCCTGAAGAAGTCATATGTCCAGAAATTTATCTAAATTTGTCTTGAAAAATCTCGAAAAAGTTACCTGTCCACTAGCGGTATCTGTTCATCCTTAGATGAGTATATTTTACAATTACACGTGGTAATAATTCACCGTTTGTATTATTGAAGCTCACTATTATTAACAGAAATAAGGTGCTATATATGCTGTTTATATTATCATAAAGAATATGATATATAGACTCGATTGTCTTCTATTAAATATGTACCTATATATCATATGCTAATCGTTAAAACTGTACTTATATCGCTGTAAGAGGAGCTGGATATGATACGAAGAAGACCCGCTGTTTACCAAATGGAAGGTTGTTAGGCGAACAAACTTGCGTAATTGCGTGGCTAACAATTCCTTACTTCATTTCTGGTTCCGTACATTTGGTAAACACGCTTATTGTTCTTTACCCAAACAACACGCTAGGAATGTCCAGTACAAGACTTTTTGCCGCCAAACCGTTGTCTACAGATCCCCGCTGTACAAATTAATGAGCTCTGATTGGTCAATGGTATTATGGTCTACACGCGCTAGATAGTAAAATTGTTCTAGAGGTATTCCTTGAAAAAATACCACTTTTGACAAATTGTGGATAACATGCAGAGATGGTGGACCACCCAATTATAAGACAGGGATTTCGGCAAGAAAAACAGTTAAAACCTTTAACGTTGTATTTGTTCAATCGTTCGCACACATGGGACAATAGAAATAGCCACGGTAGCCGCATGCCAATGCACGTGTGGCTTGCCCTTTGAAAGGTCAAGTTGTGATTTGGGAAAGGTAGAAGGAAAGAAAGCGGATTCGAATTGTAATTATAAATGTTTATATAACATTTATATACAACGAGGATCTGATAGCCAGATTTATATACAGCCAGGTTTATGGGAAAATGAAATGGGGTTTAACGTCGTACTGTTCTGCTCCGACTGGGCTAATGAAGACTGGCATACGCCATACAGTGTCCGGGCAGCGGAACTATGGCCTACTCTTATATCAAATTCCAACTGCCAACGAATATTTAACGTGCACGTCAATGTATAAACGGAACGTCGGTTTTTTTGTCCCATCCTGCACCACTGAAAAGAGGGAACCACGTTGGAAAATATGTCATATTGTATGATAATAAGATAAAAGAATGTATCAAGTCGTTCAATAAGTACAGCATTCATACACGTACATTTACATAATACTATTCTATTCTATCATGCAATATACAGAATACACAAACATGTACAGAAATGCATACATACGATTCATAGAAAACACACACATGTACATATACATGTATATAAGTATGAACAAATATTCTGCTTATGACTGACACTTTAAAGGCTCAATATCACTCTTGTTGTGACTGAATAATATGTCCCAATCTTTATTCTGGTCAACAAATTGTACTATTTTAGAATATTTCAATTAATTGATGATACAAATTTCATCTTAACACACCTTATTTAAAAATTTTGAAAAATTCAACATAATGGTTTGAAACGTCTAACGTAAACCTTTTCAAATGAAACTTCGATTTAAAAATATTTTCGAACCCTCTGGACAAGTAAAATAAGATGTAATGGATAATTTACACAACAGGTAGGACACTTAAACATCTAGTACTTACATAGAGATATTATTTATTTTCTGGCGCTTTCAAGCCAGCAAGAGTGTTATTGTCCCTTTAAAAGATAAATTTTTAGGGTGTTAGGCTAGAGACGGGTTGTGATATCTAAAGTTTATAATCTTTAAAAGAATGAACTCAGTCTTGATATAGTGGTTCCTTGAAACATGAAAGGGAATAAGCACAGAGTTATATATAGTAACGTGGGGGGGGGGGTGTTAAGCGCGTGCGCGTTGTATCATAAGGTCTGTCAACTGGTGTAGTTTCGATTCCCCGGTTGCACGTGCAAAGGAGTAGGGTCGTCTGTTCAACCTTGTTGGTTTTCTCCGGGGCCTCCGGTTTCTTCCACTGCTAAAGACCCCTACACGCAAGCGAATTATTGACATGAAATTAAACCATACTTTAGTCCCGAAATGACCTAGTTTGTGTCGAGTGGGCGTTAAACCCCATTTCTCTCTCTCTCTATATATATATATATATATATCTATAGTAACATTATTTTACCGTATGACAATGGTCCATGTCTTATTATAGAACAGATCTAACTACGATCTACGGTCTAATATTAGATACAACAATCCGGAAGTTGATTTAGAGTTTGTTATTGGTTGTTTGTTTGTGGGGTGTTTTTTTTTCGTATATAAAAGTTTTATAACCTGTTTTTTACGTAATAGGTAAGATAATTCTTTTTTTACATGAGGCCTGAAGTTGATGTAATGTTCGCTGGTATATACTAGCATAGTAGATCAAATCGATAAAACTTTTAAACACGTTTTTAGCCGATTGATCGTTGGGAAGCTACATCATGCATGATCATCATGTGACATGTAGTTAATTCGTCCACACACAAACTCGTCCACAGTTAAGTCGTCCACAACTAATAGTTGATTCGTACACCCATGTTAATTGTATGGAATATCTAAGGGCGGGTACTATATATTGTTCTATCTAGAAGTAGAAGCTTGATTTGCAGTGGCATGCATGTGTAATATACAACATATGAGTCGTACATGATGAATACATGTCGAAAGTCAGTGAAAAACACTGCATGATTAACTTAGAAAATAATTTTGACAGTTATACTAAAGTGGATATTGTTGTTTTAAATTTAAATTTTTTTTAACTTTTGGGCGCTCCATATACTTATCATAGCGTACATTTTTCAATTCCTTCTTTGAACCATACATGTGACTGAAAATGTTAGCCCCAGTCGTGCTGATTGTTTGCATATCATTGTCTGAGAATTTTGTCAGAATATGACATTATATCCTTATCTTTATGTATGAGTTTCTGTATAGCTAATATCGTTGTCTTCTAACTTGGGATGATTTGTCTTATATTGGGATGAGTTGTCTTGGGATGAATTGTCTTATATTGGGATAAGTTGTCAGGTATTCGGCCTATTCAGGGTATGTTTAGTCATAATAGTCTAACATTATCTTATTTTAAAGATGTTAATTACCAGCATTAATAAACAATAAGTTTGGGAAGCTGATCAGATCAAATCGTAGCTAAAAACAAACACAATCAGATTTATCGTAGTTAGGCAGGGGTGCAGGTAATTTGATATTTCCTAGAGATTTATGTCTCATATTGGACATCATCTATAGTATATAACTTTAAATCATTTCTTCTAACTCATTTTATAGAAGTGCCATCTTTTTGTATAGATCTATTATAGTTTTATTTATTTCATGCTATTTGATTTTATACTCATTGAACACAAGAGTTTTTATTTGTGCCCAAATGGTTAATGCGTGCATGTTGCATCATAAGATCTGTCATTGAGTTAAGTGCCGTGGTTTTGATTCCCCGCTTAGTGACTAGGAGTTGGGTTGCCTGTCAAGTCTGGTGGGTATTCGGGGGGTTAGATGTCCGAATGGTTAGCACGTGCGCGCTGTATCATAAGGCTTGTCATTGAGTCAACTGGCGTGGTTCGAATCCCCGGTTGTATGTGACACAGAGTAGGGTCGCCTGTCCAACCTCGTGGGTTTTCTCTGGGTCCTCCGTTTTCCTCCCACTGCTAAAGACCCTACGTGCAAGGGAATTATTGAAATAAAATTAAACCATATGTTAGTCCCGAAATGACCTAGTTTGTGTTGAGTGGACGTTAAACCCCATTTCTCTCTCTCTCTCTCTCTCTGGTGGGTTTTCTCCGGGTCCTCTGGTTTCTTCCCACTGGTAAAGATCCTTTGATGTAGGAGTAGGATTAGCACTACTATCCAGGCATAATTCTGTAGCACGCTGTATGGATTGTGCCCATCTTCAATAACTATTCGGTTAAGAAAATAGGATATTAATCTCCATTTCATTTCATTTGTTGCTATAATTAATGTAAATGATATTTTGAAATCCTAAATCAAGCCTGGTAATAAGGCATGTGCTAAACAAACAATGTCAGACACAGATTTAGGGTATTTTGGGAGACACAATCCCTCTGGGGTGAGATCTATTTATCAAGGTCACCTGCAGATTTCCTCAAGGTCACCAGATTTAAACAGGGCTAGTGGCCGTTAACCCTAACCCAAGACCCCTAAGCCTTACCCTAACCCACAATTCTCATGATGTCACGTACAAGTTCAATGATGTTGGAAATCCCTGTTTCTGCGTATGTTGAGCCTGTCAAGAAGAAGAAGGCCTGATAATCCTTCTATTTTAAAAATGAGAGAGAGAGAGAAATGGGGTTTAACGTCCACTTGACACTAGGTCATTTCGGGACTAACACATGGTTCAATTTTATTTTAATAATTCACTTGCGCGTAGGGGTCATTTCAGGACTAACATATGGTTCAATTTTATTTCAATAATTCGCTTGCGCGTAGGAGTCTTTAGCAGTCGGAGAAAACCAGAGGACCTGGAGAAAACCCACTAGGTTGGACAGACGACCCTACTCCTTGGCACGTACAACCAGGGAATCAAAACCATGCCAGTCGACTAAATGACAGACCTTATGATACAGCACACATGTGCTAATCATTCGGCAATCCAACCCACCAGTTTAAAAAGGAAAGTAGGCCTACTTTAGATTTTTGATCTTGATTACAAGAAAGAGTTTCATATAATGTAATATTTCTACTTTTCTCCTTCAGTTCTAAAATGGCAGATACCAATTTGGAAACTTCTGCTGAGGGAGAAGACTTTAAAAGTGGTGATGATGTCAATTTGGGAACCTCTACTGAGGATGAAGACTGTAAAAGTGATGATGATGTCAATTTGGGAACCTCTAATGAGGACGAAGATTTTGATAGTGATGGCAGCAATTTGGAAACTTCCACTGAAGAGGAAAACTTTCAAAGTGATGATGATGTTGATGAAGATGATGATGATGATGTCAATTTAGAAACGTCTACTGAGAATGAAAACTTTAAAAATGATGATGATGTCGATTTGGAAGCTTCTACTGACAAGGACAACTTTAAGGATGATATGAAGTTGGAAACTTCTACTCGGGGCGAAAACTTGAAAGGTGATGAAGCCTTCTCTAAAAACTCAAGTCAACTCAAACCTACCAGTCATAAAAATGTGAGAAAATCTATGGAATGTGATGTATGCAACAAGATATTCTATCATAGGGGCAATCTAAATTCTCATATGAAAATTCACACAGGGGAGAAAAGCAGTACATGCGATATTTGTAATAAATCTTTTGCATCGAAACGCTACTTTCGAAGCCATTTAAAAATTCATACCGGAGAACAAAACAATACATGTGAAATTTGTGATCAATCTTTTGCAACCAAACAGTACTTGAATAAACACAATCGAAGACTTCATACTGGTTCGGATGAGAATCCTTTTAGCTGCGATGATTGCGGTAAAATATTATCGACAAAGTTTGATTTGGACAAGCACAGGAGAACCCACAAAGATAAGTTATTTGAATGCACGATTTGTAAGAAAGTCTGTGTAACTAAGTGGAATTTACGATCGCATCTTCAAACGCATGCCGGAGAGAAGAATTATAAATGTCATGTATGTTTGCAATACTTTTCGAGAAAGAATTCTCTGGAAATTCATCTTAAACAGCACAAAGGAGATCTACCTTTTAAATGTGAGATTTGTAGCCGATCGTATACTATGCTCGGTATATTAAATAAACATATGAAAACGCATGAAAGTGCGAAATGCAAGATTTGTCAGGAATCGTTTCTTGGAAAACTTTCTCTGATTAAACATACGAGGGAGGCTCATCCTCCAGAAAAAAAATCTTTTAAATGTGATGTTTGTGGTAAATCATTTAATACTCAATACCATTTAAACTCGCACATTTTAATCCACACTGGGGAAAAACCCTTTAGCTGTGACATTTGCGGGAAGTCTTTCGCCTTCAAATCCCGCGTCGCAGCACATTTTAGACGAACACACACTAATGTGAGACCATTTTCATGTGATTTATGCTGTAAATCATTTCCAGATAATAGTGATCTTCAAAAACATATGAGATTCCATAGTGGAATAAAACCCCATAAATGTGATGTTTGTGGTAAAGCATTTACTTTGATTCAGGGACTGAGAAGCCATGAGCGAATCCATACAGGGGAGAAGCCACACCAATGCCATGTTTGTAACAAATCTTTCACCCAAGTAAGTTCTCTAAGTGTTCATTTAAGAACTCATAGCGATGAAACACCCTATAAATGTGATGTTTGCTGTAAAATGTTCAAATCGAGATCTTATTTAACACAGCACTTCAAAACTCACACAGGTGAGAAGCCATTTAAATGTGATGTTTGTAATCAATCATTTCCTCAGAAATCCCATCTTCTGAAACATTTAAGAATACATACAGGTGAAAAACCCCATAATTGCGATATTTGTGGAATGCGCTTTATAGATAAAGGTGGTCTGACAGTTCACTTACGAACTCACACAGGCGAGAAGCCATTTAAATGCGATGTTTGTAATAAATTACTGACTCGTCGAAGTCATCTTACGTTACACATGAGGGTTCACACCGGCGAAAAACCCTTTAAGTGTGATGTTTGTCCGAAAGCCTTTGCTCACCCTAATGCTATTAGGGTACATAAACGCACCCACACGGGTGAAAAACCCTACAAGTGTGAAGTGTGTGGACTTGCCTTTATTGATAAAAGTATTCTAACAGGTCACTTGAGAACCCATACGGGTGAAAAACCTTTTAAGTGTACTGTTTGTAATAAATCAGTGACTCGAATGAGTCATCTTCAACTGCACATGAGGCTTCATACTGGCGAAAAACCCTATGAGTGTGGTGTTTGTCAGAAAGCCTTTGCTCATCCTCATGCCTTCAGGGTACATAAACGGACACATACAGGCGTGAAACCATATAAATGTGATGATTGTGGTAAATTATTTGCTCATAGTGGTAGTCTAAAGCCACATAAAAAAACACACTGTCCTAAATTGAAATGTAAGGATAATGTAACTGTGTAGATTAATAATGTAATTGTGTAGATTAATAATGTAATTTTGTAGATTAGTAATGTAATTGTGTAGATTATGTAATTGTGTAGATTATGTAATTGTGTAGAGGAGTAATGTAATTGTGTAGAGGAGTAATGTAATTGCATAGATTAATAATGTAATTGCATAGATTAATAATGTAATTGTGTAGATTAATAATGTAATGGTTTAAAGCAGTGGTTCCCAACCTGTTGTGTACCATGTCCAACCTCAACATCGCAAATTATTTTGTGACCCCCCCTCCCCCATCCCCCTTTTGATATAAAAACATATTGAGTTTTGTGTAAGTATATAATAAAATTTAATCCTTCAAATAAGATGTTGATTCCTTCCAATAAAAAAAAATTATTCAAATCAAATAATAAAGAATCAGAAAATAATATTTTTTTACAGTAATTGTTTTAAGAAAAATTAATTCAGTGAGATTCTTGTGCTTGGTGTTTACTGCAAAGTATTTTAATATGAGGCTCTAATTTGGTCAGTTTCAATCTCCTGATTTAGTGATAGCCAGTCAATTTCTATGTTTCAATAATAAGTCACTCACACCATTTTCAAATTGCGGACCTAATTTTTTAAATTGCCCCCTTGTGCACCCCAACTTTGGAATTCACTGGTTTAATTGTATAGAGTTATAATGTAATTGTGTAGATTAATACTGAATTGTGTAGATTAATAATGTAATTGTGTAAAGTAATAATCTAATTGTGTAGAGTAATAAACTAAATGTAAGTAATAATGTAATTGTGTAGAATAATAAACTAAATGTAAGTAATAATGTAATTGTGTAGAATACTAATGTAATTGTGTAAAGTAATAATGTAATTGCGTAGAGTAATAAACTAAATGTACATGTATAAAGTAATGATGTAATGGTGATGGTATAAAGTAATAATGTAATTGTATAAAGTAATAATGTAATGATAAAATGATAATATAATGTAATGGCATGAAGTAATAATGGAATTTTATAAAGTAATGATTATGGTGTAAAGTAATAATGTAATGGTGTCTAGTAATTATTATAGTTTGTAGGGGTTTTTTGAAATGTATATTTTTGAAATGCTTTGAAATTTATATTTTTGAAATGTAAAGTAATAATGTAATTGGGTAAAGTAATAATGAAATGGTTTAAAAGTCATTATGTAATTGTTTAAAGTAATTATGTAATTGTTTAAAGTAATTATGTAATGGTTTAAAATAATATGGTAACTGTATATGTCATTTTGTAACTGTGTAAACTGTTTGCAAGGGTTATTTCAATGTATATTTTTGAAATGTATCTATGTTTTTGAAGTTTTATATTCTAGATTTTTGAAGTTTTATATTCTAGATTTTTGAAGTTTTATATTCTCGATTTTTTAAATGTATATTCTAGATTTTAAATGTATATTCTATTTTTTATACTGTGTGTTGCCATTTTTATATTGCCGTCGCCCCCGTCCGTCCATCGTCCACAATTTCTTGTGAACGCTCTTACGCCAAAAGTTATCATCCAATTGTTTTAAAATTGATATATGTTGTTTACATTAGTGAGATGAAGAAGCCTATTTAATTTCAATAATTTCTGTTTATTATGTCTAGAGTTATGGCCCTTGTTTCACTTTATTGAACCTTGTGAATGCTCCAACACCAAAAGTTATCACCCAATCTTTGTGAAATGTATATGCATTATTTAGATTACTGAAACGAAGAAGCCTATTGAATTTCAGCAATTTCCGTTTATTACGTCTAGAGTTATGGCCCTTGTTTCACTTTATTGATCCTTGTGAATACTCTAACGTCAAAAGTTATCATTCGATCTTTCTGAAATTTATATGCATGATTTAAATTAGTGAAATGAAAAAGCCTATTGAATTTCAGCAATTTACAATAATTACTTCTAGAGTTATTGCCCTTGTTTCATTTTGTTAAACCTTGTTAATGCTCGATTGATGAAAGTTATCATCCGATATGTATGAAATTTATATGCATTATTTAAATTAGTAAAAGGAAAAAGCCTGTCAAATTTCAACAATTTCTGTAGATTACTTCCAGAGTTGAGACCCTTGTTTCAGTTTTTAGAACCTTGTAAACCCTCAAACGACAAAATTTATAATCTGATCTGTATGGAACTGTCTTGTAAAAGCCCCCAATTACCTACAAAGGAATAAAAATGCGACAACCCTTGTCGACCGCTCGGACGATTTAGCTGCTGTGGGCGTATGTTTTGTTGCCTGGCAACACCTATCTTCAGTAATGTAACAGTAATGGTCTAATGTTGCAATGTAATGGTTTCAAATAGATAATGTGAAGGTTGACAGTGACAACTAATAATGTAATGGTGACGTTGTCAACTAATAATGTAATTGTGTCAACTAATAATCCAATGGCAGTGTAGTCAATTAATAATGTAATTGTATAATGTAATAGATACATAGTCAATTAATAATGTAATGGTAATTGTGTAAAATTGATAATGGTGATGGTGTTAAGAAATAGTTTAGTGACAACGTAGTTAGCTAATAATGTAATGCTGTAATAAAATTAAAAGTAGTAATGTAATGATGTAATAAGGAAGATATTGAACACATGAACTGAGTAATGTATCAATAGTTTGAGTTTAGAAATACATATTTGACATCCAAGTAGCCTTAACCAAAATTGTTTCAATGGCATTTAGTAATTGAACTAGAGTATACTGGTCACAATTCTATGGAATACAATTACTGTTGGGGATCACGTGGCTAAGTAGATAAGACGCTAGCTCGCTAGCCTGGAGGTCGGGTGTTCGATCCCTGCATTGGCCGAGAAAGTTCATCCAGATTTTCCGGCGTGGTTCTCCCTTGTCAGTGATGCAGGACGGAGGGGCTGACAAGGAAAGCTGTCTAGTCGTTCGGATGGGCCGAAAAAACCGAGGTCCCGTGTACACATTGGCGTGCACGTAAAAGATCCCTTGGCAGTTGGAATTCAATATAAGAGTAGGCCGTAGTGCCGCTGTCCGGGCAAAATTTCCCTCATAGCACACTGTATGGCGTATGCCTGTCTTCATTAGCCCAGGTTAGGAGCAGAACAGTAGGATGTTAAACTTCATTTCATTTCATTCCATTCCATTCCATTCCATTCCATTCCATTTTCCCATATTTCCCATATTTCATTTCATTTCATTTACTGTTTATTACTGAGCGAGGTTTTCTCTAGTCATGATGAAGCAATGACTAGAAAAGCCTAGTTGCTCAGTAATAAGCAGTAATTGTATTCCATAGAATTGAGACCTGTATAGCCTTAACCAGTGTATGCACTTTTTTTGTCTTATAGTATTTTCTAATGTAAATTTGCAGTATACAAAACTTTAAAGGAGCTAAACTTGTAACTCAATATTTTCCTTAATATTCGAAATTAAAAACATAAATTAGAATTCAATATTGGCCTATTTCCATCAATATTGATGTTGTTATCTTGTCGTGAAAATATAGGATCCTAATATCCAACATTCAGGACACAATGAACATTTTAAAATATGTACATGAGTCGTGTACACTATCGTTTCGGATACAAATTGCAATGAACAAAGAAAATTATATCCTACAAGGAAATGCGGAAGTAATTAGTAATGGGTGGTTCAAAAACGTCAAAATGATAATTTTTAAAAGAAAAACGTGCAGAATGGACAAAGCAGGTGGTAACTACTGCCCTTTAATTTGAACAGTTCAAGTATTTCACATAACTTAATAGATTATAAATTACAATAAGAATTTAAAAATTGAATATAAATCACTTCATATACATTCATTTTACATTAATAGTAAAATATGTGCTTCTAGTCGACTATTTTAAGTTTCCCAAGGAATAGAGCCATACACCCTTTAAGTTATGCTTATTCTTTGTTGATCTGAAATATTTCTTTTTGCATTCTGCATTTTTATTATCCAAGGCCAGTAAACCACTTCTAATTTTTAAGCTACTCGGGTAATATTAGTTAAAATATTATATTTTTTTTTATCTAAGGCCAGTCATTAGATTCTCAGCTACATGTAAATATTAGTAAAAATTGTTTTATATGTTCTTTCTCAAAATAAAAAAAAAGTAAAAAAAAACTTGTTAGCCGTGTGTGGTCTTATTGGATACTACTGGTGGTCTTATTGGATACTAGTGGTGGTTTCGAGAGTTTGAAGTTAGGACAGCATTTTCTCGATTGTCAAGTACCATTACGATATCCATTGATTACCCAGTTTAACGTTAAATATTTAAATGGCGAATGTGTTCTAATGCATTGAATCATAGACATCTATCCAATGGGGGGAGCCACGGTGGCTGGGTGGTTAAGACGCTGGCTCGCTAGCCTGGAGGTCGGGTGTTCGATCCCTGCATTGGCCGTGAAAGTTCATCTGGATTTTCCAACGTGGTTTCCCCTTGTCAGTGGTGCAGAACCGAGGGCCTGACAAGGACAGCTGTATAGTCCTTCGGATGAGACGACAAACCGAGGTCCCGTGTATACATTAGAATGCACGTAAAAGATCCCTTGGCAGTTGGAATTCGATATAAGAGTAGGCGACAGTGCCGCTGCCCAGGGAAAATTTCCCTTATAGCACACTGTATGGCATATGCCCGTCTTCATTAGCCCAGTTTGGAGCAGAACAGTAGGACGTTAAACCCCATTTCATTTCATTTTGTTTCATTTCATTGTCATGTGAATAAATGCATAATTAATAATTCATGTTGAATTTAAAAGAAAGGGGGGAGGGGAATAGATGGCCGAATGGTTAGCACATGCGCGCTGTATCATAAGGTGTGTCATTGAGTCAACTGGTGTGGTTTCGATTCCCCAGTTGTACATGACAAGGAGTAAGGTTTTCTCCGGGTCCTCCGGTTTCCTCCCACTGCTAAAGAGAATTATCAAAAAAAAAATTGAACCATGTGTTAGTCCCGAAATGACCTAGTTTGTGTTGAGTGGACGTTAAACTCCATTTCTCTCTCTCCAAAAGAAAAGATCTGCCATGGACAGATTTAGCTCTCACATAATGCATCTTTAATCTAAATGTGGTTGGATTGTGGTTGTTGTTGTGATTCGAGAAGTCTCTTACAGGGAAAACTATATAAACCCCCACCCCTACCCCGAGCTGCGAGACACAGAAATGAAATGACGTGGGGTTTAACGTCCTGTTCAGCTCCGACTACGCTAATTAAAATGAACATTCATTATAGAGTGCTGTGTTGGAAATTTTGCCCAGGCAGTGACGCTACGACATACTCTTGTATCGAATTCCAACTGTCAAGGGATCTCCTACGGGCATGCCAATGTGTACACAGGACTTCGATGTTTAGTCCCATCTGAACGACTATACATTGTTCCCTTGCCAGGCCCCCTGTCCTGCACCACTGACAAGGGGGGAAACCATGGTGGTAAATCTAGATGAACTGTCACCGCCAATACCAGGATCAAACACATGAACTCCGGGTTAACCGAGACACAAAAAGGTCGAGAGAGGAGGTACATTATTTGCTGTCAATAATGCAACAGATTTAATATGTGGGTGGCTACTTTCAGTTTCTTTGAAGTGTATGAATTCCCATGCGAATCTAAATCATGACTAATTAATATAACATTATTAACACGAGAAAAACATGTGATATATGAAAAAATCGTGGGTAATTAATTATATCTAGTGATATTAAAACCATTACAGAGTAGCTGGTATTCAACCATATCAATCTAACATCTTCAAACATCCCTGGTATCATAAATATAGTAAATGTTCCACAACAAGCACCTGTCCTCTTTCAAGTCACGTGAATAGTTCCCTTGTATAATTAGTAACATATAAACTGTCGATCATCAGCCGTCAATAACCTGACAGTTTAAGGGGAGATAATTTCTATGGTTACGTGTGCAATGAGAATTGGAAGCCATTGAAGGTATATAATAACGAAACGAAATATAGATCTATGTAGAGAGAGAGAGTAGCTAAGTCTCTAACTCGATATCACCCAAAGTCTTCGACATTGAACTCACCAATTATTTGTTAATTCAAATCAACATTTAAGTTGTGATCTTACCGGGAAAGATGAGCTTCTGATATCCAATATTTAAGACGAAATGAACATTTTACCATGGATACATGAATCGTGAACCATAATGCGTTTCAGCGCCATTTGTAACAAGGGACTCAAACAACAGGTCATGTGAATAACCAAACGCTGGAGATTGCCATTCGATTGAGACTTCTGGCGTATTTCGCCAAACATAACCGATATGAAATTGAAGTAAAAACAGAAACGATTGAAT